CTGCTGCTGCTGTTGCTGCTGCTGTTGCTGCTGCTGCTGATCCAGGCTGCTGATGCTGTCGATCTAACAGCTTGAAAGGCACTTCTTCCCCGTCAAATCATAGAAGAGACTCATTGAGTATAAACCCCTGAGGAAGGTTTTGCTGTTGTTGTTGCTGCTGCTGCTGCTGCTTCTCGTGTCGCCGTGAAGCAGCAGCAGCACCACCCGTGCAGCAGCAGACCAGCGCAACAAACAGACACACGCCCACCGACAAGATCCGCGGCAGCAGCAGCAGCTGCTGCTACAGCAGCTGCTGCTGCTGCTGCAGTCTTCCCCATACCTTCGTGCTGCTGCAGTCTTCAACTCATAGCACAGCGAGTGAATGCTGCACCTGAGGAGCCCTGTCCTTGCTGCACTGGCTGCAGCGCAGCAGCCAGCTGCTGCTAGAAGCACCGCAGCAACTGCAGCAGAAACAGCAGCAGCAGTAGCAGCATGACACGTGAACAGGTGGCGCTAACAACAGGACGCATGAAGGAATATTAGCAGCAGCAACAACACCAGCAGCAGCAGCAGGAAGTTCAGCAGCAACAACCCATCGCACAGTAGACTACTAGTAGCAATAGCAGCAGCAACAGCAGCAACAGCAGCAACAGCAGCAGCAGCAGCAGCACAAAGATGGCTGAATGCGAGCTGCTGCAGGGCATTGCTGCGGAGGCCATCCGCTGCTGCATTGTAGATGATGGAGAGGTAAGCCAGCTGTATGGACACCTAAATCGATGTTGCTGCTGCTGTTGCTGCTGCTTTTGCTGCTGCTGTTCCTGCAAGTCCTCCTTTTGCTCCCTATTGTTTGCACCCGTTGCTGCTGCTGCTGCTGCTGCTGCAGCACCTAAATTTGCTGTGTACTGCAGTCACTCATTGTTGTTGCTTCTGCTGTTGCTGCAGCTCCATCTTCTGCTGTGTATTGTATTCTCTCGTTGCTGCTGCTGCTGCTGCTGCTGATGTTTGAACTGTTTGTACCCTTTGTGTCTGTTTCCCTTTTTGCTTGCTGTGCGTGCTGCTGCAGCTCTGCAGCGGTGCTGCTGCTGAGCTTAGCGGTTTGCTGCAGACTGTGGGGCCGCTGCTGCTGCGTCGTGTAGCAGCAGAAGCAGATGTTGTATTGCGCGATACCTGCATGCATGCAGCAGGAGCAGCAGCAGGAGCATCAGCAGCATCGAGAGCAGCAAGGGATGAAAGGCCTCTGCTGCGCCTGCTGGAGGTGCTGCTGCTGCTGCAGCAGCAGCTGCCCCGTGTGCTGCAGCAGCGTTTGTGCTCCTTTATTGCGTTACAGGTATGTCCTGTAGGTCCAGTATACAGAAGGGCATGCAGCAGCAGCAGTAACAGCAGCAGCAGCAGCAGCAGCAGCTTATTCACCTCTTCTGCTGTTAGACCATCTCCCTTTGTTGGTGGCTGCGCCTCCTTACGGAGATCAGTCTCCTTAGGAGAAGATGCATTCTTCGCGGGCCCCACAGCAGCAGCAGCAGCAGCAGCAGCAACAGTGGGGGGCTTAAGGAAGCCGCTGCGAAGGACACCCGCATCGCTGCAGCTGCCGAAGCAGCAGCAGCAGTACCTGCTGCTGCACCGACTTGATGGGTCTAGCAGCAGCAGTTTAGACGGGCAGCAGCAAACGACTGCAGCAGCAGCAACAGTAACAAATGAACTTAGGGAGACCGCAGCCCCCGCTGCAGCTCGTGCAGCAGCACCAACAGCAGCAGCAGCAGTAGCACCAGAACCGCAGCAGCAGCAGCAGCAGCAGCAGCAGCAGCAGCAGCAGCAGCGCGCTAACTTAGCACAGAGATTTCAGCAGGCAGCCGATGTCTTCCACCCCCGGCGCCTCGTTAGAAACTTGGGATCACTGCAGCAGCTGCCGCAGCAGCAGCAGCTGCTGCTGCACCAACAGCAGCAGCAGCAGCAGCTCTTCTTGCTGCAGCAGCTCTCACCTGCAACAAACGCCCATGGGCATGTTACTCTACGGCGCAAACACTTCCTATCAAGCTGGATAGACACTGCAGCAGCAGCAGCAGCTGCTGCTGCTGTCATAGCTCGCGCTGCCGCAGGAGCAGCGGCAGCAGAAGCGACAGCAACGGAAGCAAATGTAGCAGCAAAGTGCAACAGAGGCAGCGTCATGCAGCAGCAGCTGCTGCTGTTGCTGCAGTGGCTGCGGCGCCTCTCTAATGTCTTCACATGGATAAGCCGTTCTGCTGCGGACACGATGCAGCAGAAGCAGCAGCAGCAGCAGCAGCAGGAGGGCTGCACTGCAACAGGGATTCTGCAACTTCAGCGAAAGAGGCTGCTGCCTGTGTGTTCATTCCTTGCTGTTGCTGCAGCTGCTGTGGGGTGCTTGCGCAGCGGCTTCCTTGCTGCCTGCGTGGCAGTGCAGCAGCAGCAACAACAACAGGGGCAGCAGCAGCAGCACCAGCTATTGCCAGAGCTGCTGCAGGTGTTGCAGGGACTTGCAGAGCAGCTAGGGGCAGATGGCCGTCCTCGTGCGATCTCCACTGTGCTGTTGTCGCAGCAGCTGCTGCAGCGGCAGGTGCAGCAGCGCATGCAACCAGTGCTGCTGCTGCTGCTATGTGAGCTGAGGGACGTCGCACTCTTCTCCTTAACAGAGGCAGCAGCAGCAGCAACAGCAAAGACTGGCCTGTCGCTGCCACCAGCAGTCTCCTTCCATCCTGCAAACCCTAAGCCGGAGGATTCAGTGCAGCAGCAGCATCTGCAGCAGCTGCAGCAGCAGCTGCAGCTGCAGCCACAGACAGCAGGTGAATTGCTGTGTAGCGCAAGGCAGCAGAAGCTGCAGCAGCTGCTGTTTGCTGTTGCTCTTGAGGAGACGTGCCTCTGTACAGCAGACAATCGTAGCGATGAGCCTTCAAGCCCCTCTTTGCTGCAGCCAGCAGGTGCTGCTGCAGGTGCTGCTGCAGCTGCAGCAGCAGCCGCTGCTGCTGCTGCAACTGCAGCAGCACGATGCAACGCAGACACCTGGTGGAGCTGCAGCGTTATATCGCGTTGGCTGCTTCTGCTGCAGCTGCCTACGTGGGACGTAAATGCCGCAGGTTCCGAAGAAGATGCAGCAGCAGCTGCTGCAGCAGCAGCAGCTGCGGCTGCAGACACGCCGCAGCAGATCCTCGACGTGTTCTCAAGAAATATACAGCAACTGCAGCAGGGACTGGTTCCTGTGCGACGGGCTCTGCCGAGGCTGCCGAGCCTGCCGCAGCAGCTGCTGCACCTGTCGCCACGGGTGCAGCAGCAGCTGCAAGTGCTGCAACTCTCGCAGCAGCAGCAACAGCAGCAACAGCAGCTCCTGCTGCACTGCATAGGCCTGCTGCTGCGCCACCGCATCCGCAGACTGGAGGCAGCAACAATTTTTCTTTTCGCTGTGAACCAGCAGGAACAACATGAGGAGAACCAGCAGCAGGAGCAGCACCAGCAGGAGCAACAGCAACAGGAGCAGCAACAGGAGCACCAACAGGAACAAGAACAGCAACAGCAACAGAGACATCAGCTGCACAGGGAAGACAGCTTGCCTACTGGAAAGGGCTCCCTGATGCTGCAGGGTGAATCTCTGCTGCGGGAGTTTGCTGCTGAGTGCAGCAGCAGCAGCAGCAGCAGCGCTCACATGTCTGCTGCTATGGATGACATACAGCTAGGAGATGTCTCTTCTCTTTTCCTGCAGCAGCAGGGAGCTCGCTGTATGGCCCTGATGCTGCAGCTGCTGCACTCCCGACAGCAACAGCAACATCTGCTCCTGCTGGTGCAAGAGCAGCAGCAGCAGCAACAACAGCCGCAGCAGCAACTCTACATCAACAATTCAGCTTTCTTCAACACGTCTGCTGCTGCAGCATTTTCTTCCGAGGTACGTTCTGCTGCTGCTGCAAAGGCGCGTGAACAGCAGCAGCAGCAGCAATTGACATCAGCATCTCTGAGAGCAGCAGCAACAATTGCAGCAGCAACAACAACAGGAACAGCAGCACCTGTAGCACGGGCATGCTGCAAGGCAGACTGTCGTTTTTGAGTCTGTTGCTGCTTCTGCTGTTGCTGCTGCTGCTGCTGCTAAAGGCAGCAACTTCCTTGTGTGTACGTGTGCTGCAGTTGCTGCTGATGAACCCGCTGCCGCTACCTGCGTTGTTCGTGCTGCTGGGCTCCGTGCTGCAGCAGCTAATATCAGCCTTCGCAACAACCACAGCAGCAGCAGCAGCGGGAACTCCCTCCCTGCGGCATCGGCGGTCCATTGATGGGCAGTTCTCTGCTTCTGCTGCTGCTGCTGCTGTTGCTCCTGACTTCGTCCCTCAGACGCAACGGCATGCGCAGCAGCGGATTGCCCTGCGCGCAGCAGCAACAGCAGCAGCAGCAGTTGCTAGAGTCTTACAGGACTGCTCCTGTTCGTGCGGTGTTAGCAACAGCAACAGCAGCAGCAGCAGCAGCAGCAGCAATCCAGCACCTAGGTATTTGGGCATTGCTGCAGATTCGCTGCGAGTCGCAGCCGAAGAAGCAGCAGCAACACTAGCAAACTCAGCAGCAACTAATGCAGCAGCAGCAGCAGATGCACCAACAGCACAAGCCACACAGTTCTGCATCTGGGAGATGGCGGGCTGCGCGCTAGCTAGGGGCATTGGTGCTTGCTTCTTGCTGCTGCTGCTGCAGCAGGAGCCGCATGCAGTATCCGAGTCCAGCAGCACCAGCAGCCACAAGCTGCAGCAGCTGATGTCGCGAAGGCAACAGCAGCAGCAGCAGCAAAGGATGGACACACCCTTCAGCGAATCAAGATCTTCTATATTGGGGGATCTTGCTGCTGCTGCTGTGGGGACCCTTGTAACTGCAGCAGACAGGCGAGCAGCAGCAGCAGCAGTGGCAGCAGCAAGTGCAGCGATTTGTTGCCGGTGTCTTACAATACTAGCGGAGGCAGCAGCAGCAGCAGCAGCAGCAGGGAAAACTCCGTGTTTGGCGCTGCGGGCTACCCTCACCCAGTGAGTAACCTATGCGCTGTTGCTGCTTGTGTTGCTGCTATTGCTGCTGTTGCTGCTGTTGCTGCTGCACCTCTTTCTGTTTTGCCTTTGTTGCCTCTTTGTAGCTAGTACTGCTCTGCCTTCATAGATATGTACAGGCTTGCAGCAGCAGCAGCAGCAGCAGCAGCCCAGCATATCCGGAGGAGGCCCATTCTTCCGCGGCATCAGTTGCTGCAGTGTATTCTGTTCTTGCTGCTGCTGCTGCTGCTGCTGCTGCTGCCCCTTCAGGCTGTTCTTCGTAGGACTCCATTTGTCTTTGCGGACTCATTGGGGCCTCAAAGGGCACTACAAAACTTTTCCTGGATGTTAGTATAGTGCTGCTGCTGCTGCTGCTGCTGTAACTGCCGCTGTTGTTGCTGCTGTCGTTGCTTCTTGCCGCCAGTTGCCTACAGCTGTAGCAAGTGCTGTTTAAGCGACGCAGCCGATGTTGCCGGCGACCCCGCTGTGCTGCTGCTGCTGCTGCTGCTGCTGCTGCTGTTGGCACTCCTTGTCGGGTGATGCTGCTGAAACTCTCGGGCTTGTCCGTGCTGCTGCTGCTGCTAATGTTTCTTCTTCTGGGTGTGCGGTTTGCTTGCTGCAGCAACTGCTGCTCTACAACTGCGGCATGAGATGCTGCACTGGGGTCGCGCCCTCTTCCTCTGCGGCCAACAGCAGCAGCAACAGCAGCAACAGCAACGCTGTTGTGCAGCAGAAAACGACTGTAGCACCGGCAACAAAGTGTGCTGTGCTCTGCATGCACCATTTTTTTGTGCCCCAGTGGCCGCAGCAGCAGCAGATGTAAGGCACGATAGTAATTGCTGTTGCAGCTGTTGTTCTTTCTGCTTGTGCTGTTGCATCAGCAGCAGCAGCACAAGTTGTTTGCGTCTTCTGTTTGCTGTTGCTTCGTTTGCTGCAGCTGTGGCTCCAAGTGGCAATGCAAGCAGACATTGACAGCAGCTCAGCAGGAGAGCTGTGGAAGCATTTGCGGCAGCACAAGCAGCAGCAGCAGCAAAAGCAGCAGCAGAGGCTGTCTCACGTGCAACAGCAGCAGCAACAGCAGCGGCACAAAGAAGTTCTTTGTGCACTTCTGTATACTGCAAGTACCCTCACGGGCCCCACACTAGACAGTCATCTCTTCAAGGCCTGCAGCAGCAAAGCAGCAGCAACTGAAGCTGCCACTGTGAGCTTTTGCTGCATGCACTGCTGCTGCTGCTGCTGCTCCTACACCAGCATGCAGCCATATAGCAGCAGCATAAACTGCTGCAAATTCAGCATTAGCTGCAGCAGTTGTTATGTTAGCCCATACATTTTACTTGCTAGTTGCCTACCTTGTACTCCATTTGCCACTGCTGTTGTTGCTGCTGCTACTGCTGCTACTGCTGCTGCAGGCTCACGTACCTGGAGACGCGGCTGCGAGTTCGCTGCCCCGTCCTCTGTTGCTGTTGCTGCAGCAGCACCAGCAGCAACAGCTGAAGCAGCAAGAAGGGCTGTCACGAAGCCACACAGAGAGAAAGATGCAGGAAGCAGCAGATGCATGCTCATTAGCAGCAACATTTGCTGCTGCATCGTACCGAGCAGCGGTAATATATTTGTGCTGCTCTTGCTGCTGCTGCCAATGCTGCTGCTGCCAATGCTGCTGCTGCTAATGGTGCTGCAATTAATGTTGAAGCTACTGCGTGCATTTGCACTTTCATTGCGTTTAAGTCCTCCGGTCTTCCGTTTGCTGGCATTCCTGCTGTTGCTGCTGCGCTGCAGAGTGGAGGCAGCGCATGCGAGGCGCTGCAGTGTCTTCAGGCCATTTCGCCCAGCAACAGCAACAGCAGCAGCAGCAGCAGCAGCAGCGGTAGCAGCGGTAGCAGGAACCCGAGCAGGGCTGCTTCTGAAGGAATGACACTTCTTAAGTGTAAGGCATGAAGATACTGCAGCATGTGCTGCAGCCCTTGCTGCTCAATCATTTTTCCAGCTGCAGCTACGCCACTTCGTTGATTCATCCGTTGCTGCTGCTGCTGCTCCTACTACTACTACTACTGCTGCTGCTGCTGTGCATTGTGGTGCTTCTGCAGGGAAAACCCTAATCTTCGTTGTTGAGAGATGGGCACAGACGTTTGCTTCCCGCTGCAGCAGCAACAACACCACAGCGAATACAAGCAGCGTACGGTGTTTCAGTGCCTTGTGCAGCAACAGCTGCAGCAGCAGCCGCAGCAGCAACCGCTCCTCCTCTGCCTACACTCCAGAAGCCGCTGCAGTTGTAGATGTAAGGGCACTCCAAATGTGCTGCCCCTGTGGCTGCCGTTACTGTTGCTGCTGTTGCTGTTTTCCTGCTTTTCTAGCGAAGTGTTTGTCTGCTGTTGCTGCTGCTGCTACCTTATCTAAAGGATCCACTGTCTTTGTGGTTTACTGCTATCTCTTGCTTGATGTGTTGTTTGTTGAAGGGGGCGACTGCATTGCTGCTTCTGCTGCCTGCATCTGTAAAGTGCTGTCCGCCTCAGCAGCAGCAGCAAAGATGGAGTTTCGGGTGCATGCAGCAACCACAGCAACTGCAACAGCAGCAGCGCTGGCTATGTCACTTGGCCCCAGCAGCACTCGTCTCGTTGCTGCAGCAGCTTCTTGATGCGGTCCCTGCAGCAGCTCAAAGTAGCCGGTTTGTGGGGGCCTTGTTGCAGGTATGGGTCGTTGGCTGTTGCTGTTGCTGTTCCATCTTTTGCTGCTGTTGCTGCAGTTTCTGCTGTGGCTGTTCCTAGTGCTGCTCCCCCTGCATCGGCGTGTGCGCCAGCATCGGACGGGGTGCATCTGATGTTCGCTACTTGTAGGTGTTTTCGCGGATTTTTGCAAGAGAAAGGCAGCAGCAGCATCTAGAGCAGCAAGACAGACGTGTTTACGAGGACAGACGTCTGCAACAGCAAGAGCAGTATGAAATGCTACTCAATTCTCTGCTGCAGCAGCTGCTGCAGCAGGTGCTACACTCCTGGGCTGTGGAGGGGGCTGCAGGTCCCGCGCTGTGCCTGTTTGGCTCCCTTTTACTAACGGACGTCAACCAGCAGCAACGGCAGCAGCAGCACGAGGAGGAGGCAGCATCGGAAGGACTGCAGGCGGTGGAGGCATACCTGTCAGAGCAGCAAGTTTGGTTGCTGACGCATGAGTTGTTGTTGATGGTCGTGGAGGCAGCAGCAGCAGCAAAGCGCCGCTCCGCGCTTGCTCGGGACGGTATAGCTGCTGCGGCTACAGCTGCTGCAGCTGGCGAGTGGCGGCAACTGCAATCGAATGTAACGTCGCAGCTGCAGCGGTTGCAGCAGCTGCAACGGCTGCAGGGGCCACGCCCAAAACCCGCGCAGCAGCAACAGCCCTTGAGTGTTGCTGCTGCTGCACGTGCAACGCAGCAGCAGCTCCTGCAGAGGTGCTGGCAGCTGCTGCTGCGGGAGTCCTTCAGCAGTTCTGGGAAGTGTTTGGAAGCAGCTGCTGGTGCTGCTGCGCCTCTGCTGATGCATGCAAAGCGGCCCCAAGTGTTTCAGTCAGCTGCTGCTGTCCTTAGCGCCACTCGGCAGCTGCAACAGCTCCATGTTATGCTGCTGCAACAGCAAAATGACAAACCCATGCGGATGTTTGCTAGCAGCGATGGCAGCATCCCTTTGTCTGCATTAGCAGCTCCTGCTGTTGTGGATGCGAGGCAGCAGCAGCTGTTGGCTGAGGATTGCGACGCAGAGCAGCAGCAGCACGAAGCGGCAGAAAAGGCAGTAACAGCAGCAGCAGGGAATGGTGCTACAGCTGAAGGCAACCTTACGGTGGATCTCAGCAAGGACACCTCCTGGCATCCACACAAAGCAGCAACAGCAGCTGCTGGATTCGGAACAGCAGCAGCACTGGTGCTGCTAGCAGCAGAGCTGTGGGCTTCGGCACAGCTCACGTTGCAGCAACAAGAGCAGCTGCACCTGCCGTTGCTGCTCACCACGAGTAGCAGCAGCAGCGCTGCTGTGAAGCCTTATCAACGCAACTGTGGGGAGCTGAAGCGGCGCTGTGTGGCTGCTGCAGCGGCGGCTGCTGCTGCCTTGAGGGAGGGCACGTTTCTGGCGCTGCAGCAGCAACAGCTGCTGCTGCAGCAGGTCGTCACCCTGGGCTTGCCATGGTCTGTAGCATGGCTGTGGGCGGAGATGGTTGCTGCGGCTGTTTCTGCAGTTCGTGCTGTTGCACCGAATCAGGTTGTGCTGCGTTACCCCTTTTGCGCGGCAGCAAGCACAACAAATGCTGCAGCAGCAGCGGGAGCGACAAATGGCTGGCCGTGGCTGCGAGCATGTTGGGTGTCTGGAGCGCAGCATGTGCTGCAGCAGCAGCAGCATTTGTGCGCTGATGGAGAGTGTTTGCTGCTGTTGCTGCAGCAGCAAGTCCCAGCAGCAGCGATGATTTCTACGTTTTCAAATTCAGCACTTGACAGCCCAGTAGGACCCTCACCAGATATGCTTCTGCGCATGCAGAGCCAGAAGCGACCTTCTGCTGCTGCAGTGTATGGACCGCTTCTGTGCATGCAGCAGCGGCGAGACGAGCTGCTGCAGCGCATGGCGCAGCAACTAGATCTGCCAGGGCTGTTGCTTCACAAGCAACAGCAGCTGCAGCAGCAGCAGCACAAGGTTGTGCAGCAGGGTCACCTGGCATCAGGAGGGAGACGGGAGTCACTGGCTTCTCAGCTTCTGCTGCTGCTCCAACAGCAGCAGATACTGCAGCATCAACAAGGAAGCGCCAGGCGAACCTACGCATCACTCCGCGGCAACTTGGAGAGTCTAGCGACTCAAATGTGGGGTCGCTCGTCAGCAACAGCAGCAACAGACGAAGAAGCTGTTACAGCAGAAGATGTAGAGTTGTACGAGCTCTTAGACGTGCCAGCAGAGGTTGCATACAGCAGAGACACCAGCTGCTGCTGCGGCGGGCCGCCAACAGCAGCAGAAGCAACATTGTCTTTGGCTTTCTCTCAGTTGCTGCTGTCGAAGTTTGCTGTTCGTAGCGGTGCTGCAATCTTCCCGCAGCTCGGCTTAGAGCAGCTGCAGCGCAGCAGCATTCTTGGGTGTCCTGCTGCTTCTGGACGCCTTGACAGCGCCTTGCTGCTCTTTACCGCTCTACGTTGTTGCCTTACAGCTACTTCCCTCTGCTGTTGCTGCTGCTGCGAAAAGCATCACCAGCAGGAACTGAGAGAGCCCCACGAACACCAAGGCACACGCTGCTGCTTGCGTCTGCAGGACCGCAGCAGGGTGCAGCAATTACTGCTGCAGTGCAATGGCACATTTGCTGCGGAGCAGCAAGCGCTGCTGCGGGGGAGGGGAGCGGTCTCTCCTGTTCATCTTCAGCAGCTTCTTGTGCTCCGGTGTACGTACACTGCAGTTTGCTGCTTCCTTGAGCGCGCATCTAAGGATTATTGGCTGCGGCCTTGTGATTGTGCTGACGTCAAAATTGCAGCAGAAGCTGGAGCAACAGCAGCAGCTGCTGCAGTACCTGGTAGCAGCAACAAAGGCAGCAGCAGCATCAACAGCGCGTGCTTCTGTTTCCCCAAGCAACGTTTGGCATCGCTTGCTGAGTCTATAGCTTTCGTCGCAGACATGTTGGAGCCTGCTGCACTTAGCAGCAACAGCAACAGCAACAGCAGCAGCCTTTCGTGCTGCTCAAGTGCGGCTGCCCTTTGCAGCGCCATCTGCTGCACAGCGCCCAAGGGGATTCGGAAGTGCTGTAGCAGCAGCTGCAGCGGCAGCAAGCGCCTCGTACAGCAGCAGCAGCTGCCCCCGTCCCCTGCAGTAATAAGCAGCAACACCACCTTCTCCTGCAACTGCAGGAGAGTGTGCGTTGTTAAACGGGAAGCTCCTGCTTCTGCAGCGCTGCTTCGTCTGCTGCTTCTTGATGAGATCGAGCGCCTGGTGGCTGCGTTTTGTTACATTGTACCCCAAAATGCAGCTGACGCGGCAGCAGCAGCAGAGGCCACAGCAGCATTAGCTGCTGCTGCTGCTGCTGCAGTGGAGGCAAGGGCAGCGGCAGCTGCTCACACTAGCACCAACAGCAACAGCACCAGCAACACCAGCAGCTACAACAACAGCAGGCCGTTGGCGCGTGTGAGGGTGCACCGAATGGCTGTTCTGGAGCTCGTAGCGTCTGCAGCAGCAGAAGCAGCTGTCTCTGCTGCAGCAGCAGTTCAATGGCCTGCTGGTGCAACGGCCCCCCACCGGGATTTGTTGCAGCTCCGGCGTTTGCTCCAGCAGCAGCCCCCCTCTGCAGCAGTGTCGCGACGCAGCAGCCGATGCTCTCAATCGGAAAAGCACCAGAAGGAGGGGCATAAGAATGGTAGCGAGCCAGACACAGAGGCCGCAGGAGCAGCAGGAGGCACGAGCGCTGCAGCAGCAGCAACAGCGGCACGTCTGCTGCAGCATGCGCCTCTATCTCTTGTTGCCTCTACGTCGATGCGGCTGCAGGCTGTTCCTGTCTTCTCTACTGCAATGTGAGCTGCGACCGCTTTCTGAGCTGCTACTACTGTAGCAGCAGCAACAACCACAGCAGCAACAGCAGCAACAGGAGTCCCGAATTATCGTATCAACAACTGTTTTCATGTGTGTGCTGTGGTACAGATGGAGTTGTGGTGCTCTTGCAGCAGCAGCAACGGACCCGTTGCTAGCTGTTAGGGAGCTTCTGCTGCTGCAGCAGCAAACGCCTGCCGAAGGGGCATCCGCGCTGTGGCGCCTGCTGCTACTGTTTCTGCAACAAGAAGTAATGAGCTGCCTGCGCTCTTCGCTTCCCTCCAGCAACTGGTTTGTCGGTGGTGCTGCTGCAGAGACACCTCATTTATCTCAGCAGCACAGTCAGAAGCAGCAACAGCAGCAGTTGATGCTGCCGCTGCCCATGCTGGGGATGGTAATCCGCTGTCTCCTCTACTGCAGCAGCTCTTTGCCGGTACACGGATTACTGTTGCTTCTGGAGCAGAACACAGCAACAACGGTGGCTGCAGCTTGCTGCGTCAGCAGCAGTAGCTGCAGCAACAACAGCACCACCAGCAACAACAGCACCATCAGCAACAGCAGCAACAGCAGCAACGGCAACAAGCACCACACTGGAGAAGTCTCCGCTGGTGTAAGTGAAGCTGCTGCTGTTGGTCCGATTCGAATTCTGCGAGCAGCAGCTTGCCAGGTTCTGATGCTCAGCAGCAGCAGCACCACGAGCAGCACCAGCAGCGTGCCAGTAACGCCGCACCAGAACCTCTTTTCCTTCCTCCAACCGCAGTTGCTGCAGGCCCTTCGTGTAGATCCAGGTAGAGCTCTCGAAGGGGCCTTCATTGCAGATTTCTGTCAGCAGCAGCAGCAGCAGCAGCAAGGGGAGGAATATGGAGGCCGCAGCAGCAAGTGCACATACCGCCAGCTCTCTTTAGTCATGCAGCTTGACTCTGCTTCCAATGTAAGCAAACAATGCATAGATTACTTTTACATTATTTTACCTTCTTGCTCCTCATTTAGGTTTCTCCTCCCTCCTTAGTTCCTTTTTTCCTCTTTTTTGCTGCATGATATCCGGGCCTCTGGTGTTACTGCACGCAGCATATTCTGCCATGCATGCATTCCTTGGAACTGTGTTCCAACTACGTTCCTCGACGTTGTTTGCTGTGAATGCTCTTGCTGCTCCTGGTGCTGCCACTGCTGCTGTGTGCTGCAGCTAGATGACAGTGACCCTCTTGCTACTAAGTCCAAGCAACTGCGGGTAAAAGCTTGTGGAAAGCCTAGGGTGTAGCGTGAAGTGTTTAGGGTTTGGGGTTTAGGGTTTGGCTACCCTTGCACCCCATCTCACTGTATTTGAGGAGGGTTGCCTCGGTTCACTTATCGCTAGTATTCCTCCTCCTGCTGCTCCTGTTGTTACTGTTGCTGCTATTACTCTCGCTACTAATGTTGCAACTTCTTCTTATGCTGCTGCTGCTATTGCTTTAGGCTGAACTGTTTCGTTTGATGAGTACGGACGCGCGGGATTTCTTAGAGAGTCAGGTGCAGTACTGGAAGGCTATAATAGGCTTGAGGTAAAGAGTTGTCTGCTGTTATGCTGCTGTGGTGCTACAATGTTGCTGCTGCGTTGCCTTTGTGCTGCTGCTGAGCTGCTGATCTGGTAGTACTGCGTGCCTGAGCATCCCTTTATTAATTCTCCTAACAAGGTCTAACAGCATCAGGGAGGATATTTTCGATTAGAGTGGGGATAGGGTCTCCTTGTAGATGTGTAGACAAAAGTGTCTGCAGCTGCACCGGATTCGTTGCCCATGTGTGTTTTTATTTACCCGTAGCAGTCTCCTTGTCGATCCTCGTTGCTTTGGTTGTTGGTGCCTCTCCGTTTCCTGTATGCTGCCCTTGTGTTCTTGCGTGCGTGCCCCTTCTCTGTCTGTTTGTATTATATGATGCTGCCATCGTCTTTGTGTTGGCCTCCTCGCTGGGAGCTGATGCGGGAGCGTATCCCTGCGACAGAACCAAGGGTTGAGGGTTGAGGGCTTAGGGCTTACGGTTTACGGTTTGCGGCTGGTTTTACAGCGGGCGCGCAGTGGGTCTTCCCCCTTCTGCAAGGAAGGCTTTCTTCGTGCAGCAGATAGAAGAGCTGCAGGTAAACGCCTTACTAAGCCCTAAGCCACAAGCCCTGAATCCTAGTGCAAATGCTTCCCCAGTGTTCTGAATACTTTATTTCACTTTCACCCATTGGGGTGCCTTGCTTCCGCTTCCGGTGCGTTTGGTGTTTCTGATGCTGCTGCCTCTATGCTGCTGCATTTGTCTGTTTCTCTGTAGAGGTCGTCTCCTTGCGAGGGCTTCTGGTTGCTGACGGAGCCCCTGAGAGTGCAGCAGGCGCTGCCTGAGTCGGCCACCGCCATGCAATCTGCAGCCAAGGTTAGATCGCCTCTCTCTGATTTTTCTCTTTTTCCAACTTTATTTTGTTGCTGAGTTTAGTCGTTTTAGTTGATTTTGAGCCAAATACCTTTCTAACTTTTTTTTGTTGCTGTTCAAGTCAATGTGACGTTAGTGGTGCTCAGATTAGGACTCAATCTGTTATCCCTTCCTTTCCTCCTTATCTCTGAGCTTAGTGTTACTCTTTTTCCTACTTGCATGGTACCGCATTATGTCGTCGTCTTAATCTCGTTGTTGCTTTCCTTCTCATTGTTGTGCTCTGTTTGGTCTTCTTGGTGCCGTTATCTTTTTCTAGCGGTCTTGCTTCTGTTGTTTTGTTTTTTCTCTCCTTCGCCAATGGATGACTAGTTGTTTGTGCCTCTCTAGAGGCAGTGTGTATATGCATTCCAGTGTCCGTTTGTACTTGGCGTCGTTTTTCGTTATTTCTGTCCGTTTCCCTTTTTCTGCCTATTGGTTGGTCTCTCTGCCAGCCGTCAATGTTTCCGTTGTCGGCACAACAAGAAACAGTCAGTTTTTCGCTTTGTTTTTTTGTTTGTTTGTTCATTTGTTTGTTTGTTTGCTCGTTTGTTCGTTCGTTTGCTTGTCTTCTTAAGGCCCCCTTTCTGCTTTCCTTTGAGGCTTTTGGAGGCGGCAGACGCCCCGCTTGCATCTTCAAGCTGCTTGATGATCTCCAGCAGGACGCCTTAGCAGTTCAGGCAACGCGAGTCAGTCTCCAGCATTCGCTGCTGCAGCTTCTAATTTGCTGTTCCTGTTGCTGCTGCTGCTTCTGCCAACTTTGCTGCTGCCGTTCGTCCTCCCCGCATGCTGCTGGGACTTTCAACAAGCGTTTTGGTGTTTCTGCTTATTTTATTGCTTTGGTGTCCCCACTGCCAAGGATGTGGTGTTGCGCCTATGTATGCTGCGTCTTCGCTGCGCTTCCTGTTCCTCTTTCTCCTAGAATATGTATTGCTGCTGCTCCTTCTCTAAGAACCCTTCGCCTGCTCTTCCTGCTGGCGCTGCTGCTTTCGGCTAGTTAGTGGCAATTGCCTGTGTTTGTATTAATGATGGACCGATCGTGGTGTGGTGGCTGTTAGATGTCTTATTCTGCATCCTTGCTGGTATACTTGTTGTTCATGATGCTTCTGCTGCAGATGTGCCTATCGGTCCTTGCGTCTGCCGGGGAGTCATCATGGCTGCGACCGTATGGTGTCACAGCTGTTATCCAGAGGGCAGAAGCAGCACAGCAGCACCACCACCACCCATGTGACAGCAGCAGCAGTGATGAGGGTCTTATTCCTGGTTCGGCATGCTCCTCGGCAGCAGCAGCTGGAGTGGAACCAGCAGCAGCAGCAGCTAGCAGTAGCAACAACAGAAAGACTCTCTCCCCAGCTCCCCACGGAGTTGCCTCCGACTCCTCCTCTGCTGTGGAAGGCTCTTCAAGCTCCCCGGCAGCAGCAACCATAGCAAGGGGGCGAAAGGCTGGCTGCCAGCTCGGTGGGGCAGTCTCTGTTGTAGAAAGTGCATTAAGTCGTCATCAAATCGGGAAGACTTTCGGCTGCTCCCTTGTTGAGTTCTTTGCCCTGACATTCCCCAAAGAAAACAGCAGCACCAGCAGCAGCACCAGCAGGCGCAGCAGCCTCCGAAACATGCACAATCTGCCACTGGCGGTTAACGGCAATCCTCATTCCAGCCATGGTGCAGCAACAGCAGGAGGCAATCGATGCTTTGGAGAGGGGAGGGCTACTGGACCCCACCAACTGAGAGGCAGCAACGACAGCGATACGGAAGAAACCCAACAGGAGCAGCTGCAGCAGCACCAGCAGTTAGTACAGCAGCGTGTGGGAACCCAGCAGCAGCAACAACAGCAAGATGAAGTGCTGCTAAGCGGAAGGTCCCACCGCATTTCCTTCGAGAACGCCACGCAGAACTTCGCCGACTCCTTAGCTGCCTACGCTGTCCTCAGCTACCTGTTGCAGGTAATTGTTGCTAGAGCCTCTTTTGCAGCAGCTGCTGCTGCTACGGGTGCTGCTGTTGTTGCTGTTTGTATAAAATCACAATCGCTCGGTCTGGAGCCTCTGCTGCTGGGGCAGTTGCTGCGATGTTAGTGTACTGCCGTTAGTATCATTACTAATTGCTTGTTTCCTGCGTATCTTTCGCCGGGGAACAGCGAAGCTGGGTGTAGCTCATTTTGATTGTTTCTTGTGGCATGGGGAGCTGCTGCAGGTGAAGGATAGGCACAACGGAAACGTGCTGCTATCGGTCCAGTCAGGGCGTTTGCTGCACATAGACTTTGGGTTTATGCTGGCTCTGTCCCCTGGAGGCGACATGGCATTTGAAAGAGCTCCATTTAAACTTACTGCAGAGATGTATGCACTCCTCGGCAAAGAACAAAGCCCGCAGTTCCGCTCTTTCGTCAACAAATGCGTCAGAGGGTAGGGGCCAGCTTTCGCATAGCTGCCACAGTAGCAGCAGCAGCAATGGGCGAGGCGGCAGCTGTAGCAGTAGTAGCAGCACTCGCTTGTGCTAACAGCGTGCTGAGCCACAGAAAATGCTTCTGGTCTCCAAGGAGGAGAGATCCCAAAGAAACATGCCTTAGGGCCTTTCTCACACTCTGTGGATTCCTTGATGCCTTGGCATGCTTCTGCTTTGACTGCTTCTTCTCTTTCATTTCATCTATCTGCCTCTATTGCTGACGTTTTTTCTCTGTTGCCGTTCCAATGTCTTTAGCCTTTGTCTGTTTTCCTGGTTGCGCAGAGCCCCTCTCCTCATTCATGCGCAGAGTTCACAGCGTCTTAATAACGTAGAAATTTCAAATGTCTCCTGGCCAGTTTTCTGCCGCTGATAGTGGTGGTGCTGCTGCTTTTGCTGCTGCTACCGCTGCTGCCTCTCAGATTCCTTGTCCTTCGCGAGCGAGCGGACGACTTCATATCACTCTTCGAGGCCATGCAGTTCTCTCGCATCGCCTGTTTCAAACCTTTCGCGGTGGACCATCTCAGGTACGTCTTTGGTTTGGGATTTAGGGCTAATGTCCTGGCAGCTGAGATTGAGAGTCCCTCGAATCTACCCTTGACTGAGATTGAGTGCCCCCCTACCCCCATCCCCCGTTGTTCTAAACCCTATTCGCCCCAGCGTTGCAAACCCTGAAGCCATACACCTATTCTAGCCGTATAGCCTGCACAGCTGAACCGTTTTGCTTCCATAGTTGGTTCTTGGTTTTGGGGTTTAACCTATGATATTTATGGTAGTATGATACATTGAGCGTGCAGTTCAGTGTCAGTACCGAGGAGCCGTAAGGGTTTGTTTCACCATGGGCGCATGCTCGGGAATGAAAGGTTTGGTGTTCATGTTTTTGGGCTGGGGGTTTGTGTGTAGGGCTCGCTTCCAGTTGCATCTGTCCCCCTTGCAAGCAGCGGCGTTCATGGAAACGAAAATATGGGAGGCGCTCCAGTCCCTCACCACGAGGGCATATGACCTCGTGCAGCACTTGCAGCAGGGTATTCAGCACTAACTCCTGTTGCTGCTGCAGGGGCTCACTCCTGCCGCTACTTTTGCAGTTGCTGCAGCCAAGCCAGCTGTTGCGGTGCCCCAGCAACATCGCCACCGTAGTTTATTTGCCTCCACCACACTGACAGGCGCAGCGGCTCACCTGGCAGCGGCAACAACAAGAACAGCTGTTTTTGCTTCAACTGCATAAACGCAAACAGTCTATACTTTGTCCCTCTGTTTCCGTCGGCACCGGTTTGTGCTCGCGTTGAAGTCAACGTATTTGGCATTTGCAAAAACTTCAAACCTTGCTCATGTCCATAGACGCTGTAGCTTCCGTTGGGGGTTTTGTCGTTACTATAGTTGAAGCTGCTGCAGTGCTAGTCCCTACCAACCGTTGCTGCGTCCACTGCTCCTGTGTCACTCGCTTGCCGTGAGTGATCCTTTTACTGGCACAATCCACCAGATAAGCAAGGGCAGCAGCAGCATGCGAGGAATATGCTTACACAATGTATCGTCCTCCCCCTGTAACTGTTCCTGCTTCCTCAAGTAGTGCTTTTCTTTTGCTTTCGATGCCTTCAAACGTTTGCTGTTGCTGTTCGGGGTGTACATGCAGCTTCCTCGCTGCTGCCTCAAGTTTGTCCTTGTCTAGATTGTAGTTAGGGTTAATGCGGGGCCCCTTCGGCGGTTCCATGTGAGGAATGCTCTTTTTGGCTTCCGGCTCAGTTGTTTCCTGCAGATACCTGTCCAGTTCCTGTTCAAATAATATCGAGAAAAGCGCAGATGCAAAACAAATAGACCAAGCAAAAAAGCTCCTGCGGCGGCTGCACCTCCTGCTGAGGTCGAGTCGGCCCCCCCTCCTGCTCGTGGTTGTAGACCTTTACAACTAATCCTACGCCTTAGCTTCCAAACTGCCGTTCGTCACAGGTACGCGCAGCTACCACTGAAGCTACAGCGGCTGCAACTGCATGGCAGCTACAGCAACGCCACCGCTACAGGTTTAGCAGGGGAGCTGCAGGTACACCTAGATTTATGCTGACTCACCTGTTGCAACAGCCCGCATGATGTGATCTCGTCGATGAAGGCACCATATTCTCTTAGCAACGCGAAGGGGACTGTTTTGTCCTTGGGGTGTTTCTGTCGGCTGAGCAGAAGTAGCAGCAGCAACAGCGGTAAACACTGTGGGCATGTTCTGCTCCAGAATAAGAAAGTGCAACAGCACGATACTGACAGGTCACAGCAGGAGAAGCAGCAACACCATCGGTAGAAGCTGCGGAACAACAGCATCATCATCCTCAGCAGCAGCAAGTTAAAACTCTAACAACAGCAACAACAGCAACTTGCGTCGGTTTTCCCATCCCCACGAAGAGGGATGGGATTTCTCCTGTTGCCGCTTCAAACAGACGGACCAATTCGGCATCCAAAGCCTCTGCACATCAACGCACTGAAACACAGAAATACTAGTCCTTGTTTGCATTGTATTGGCCATGAAATGTATGATGGTGGATTTGCTGTCAGGAGTCAGGTCCTATTATGCGCAGTTTAGGGTTCATGATTTAGGGTTTGGGGATTTACTGTGCATTTTGATGTGCTTCACGCTGCGTGGGGCGGATCGTGTGTCAACCTTCTGCGTTTCGATAGTTTTTGGTGTCTTTTGGGGGACTAAATCACGTTCAAATTCAAAATGGTAGCACCAAGGAAGATGCTGTCTGTAATATTCTCCTTCCATGTCTTCATCGACGCCTGAACCTCCCTCCCTGTTGTTCTCGCTATCTTTGTCTGTGCCTGCTTGATCCCCTTCAACGCTGTCTCCTGCCGCGTGCATTTCCCACCTCCTCTCAGCCCTCCCTGTTCTGCTTCTGTATCCCTGCATCACTGCACAGCCCGCCCCCCCTTGGAAAGGTTCTTGCAGTAGGGAACCACGGGCTGGCCTGTGTGGGGCCCCCAGCGCATCCCTTTGTGGCTCCCTTTGTGAGGCCCCTCCGTGCTGTCTCCCCTCTGAAGGAGCCTGCTGCATTGGGGGATATTTAGAACGTTCCCTTCTCGAAGTGAAGGGCAACGGCCCCTGAAAGTCCTCATACATATAGTTTTCAGGGTCGCTAGAGGTCGCAGAGCCCCTAGGAAGCAAGGTATCGCCATTGTCTACGGGCGAAGAGCCCCAGACGAACCCACCCGATACGGCTCCCCCTTTGAGGGCCCTCAAGGTGTTATTTTGGGGGTCCCTGTAAAAGGCCCCTTGGGAGACCTTCTGCCGTGTGCAAGTTCGTAAACCCACATGCTCCTGCTTGTGTTTGTGGTCTCTATTCTTTAAGTATTTGTCAAAGTCCTCTCTGAACTCCTTTGCTAACAACTCCCGCTTGAACACAACCTGTGAAGAGCGTATGCAGACACCTTAAGGTCTAGTCAGCCGCCTTCCTGCATGTTGCCTTCCTCCAGAGCAGTAAGCGTTACACGACTTAGGTACGTGCCCTTGGGTTGGGCGCAGCAAAAAGCCGTGTGAGGGCTACAAGTAAAAGGGGCTGAAGGCGCACCTGGTGTGTCTTGATGAGATACCTGAGTACACGAGACCGCCCCCACCTCTCCCTCTCCATGGGCGCCCACTCTCTCCGGCTGCGTGGGCTCAGTGTTTCCTTGTAGTCGAGACCAACGCGCAGCAGGTGCCGCCTGCTTGCCTTGCTTAGTGGCGGCCCCCATGGGCCCCGAAGGAAGTCATCCTCGCTGAGGGCCGGCAAGGGCTTCAGGGGAACAACACAGGGAGGTTCACCAGAAGACACCAACTGTCCGACCTGCTTTCCAAAGTCTCCCCTTGCCCCCTTTGCATCACTCACAACGTGCGCATCAGGTGGCAGATGATCCCAATCCGCGTAAGGGGAAGCCGGGGGCCTCCCTTGTCTTTGAGTTGGAGCAGTTTCCTTCTCTGTAGCAGCAAACCAGAGGTCCATCAGATTAGGCCTCGGAGGCACCTGCGGGTATTCGATGAAGTGCGCAACACACGCCTGTCGCCACTGACCCTAAACCCTACTACACCATAAACTAGACATCAGAGGCCGCAAACGGCAAACGACTCGTACAAAAGCAGGTAACAGTGAAAACTCATTTTGTCCATCCTGTTCTGATCCTTCGCGTGAGGCAAACGGGCAGCTACAAGTATGCACTAACTGGCAAATGTCTTTGCTGAAAATTCTAAGTATTGTCAGACCCATCTCCATATCTTTTCGTCTCAATTATATACTTGCTACCTGTCTGTCTATGCCGTCTCTCATTGTTCTCTTTGCCTTCGGCAGGCGCATGCTGCCCATTTGTTCCTCCAAGTGTCCTCAATCCTCAGACTCTGGTGTGTGCTTTGCAGCTGCTCTCCATATCTGGTGCCTCTACCCCTCCATCTGCACTTGTTGACGTATGTTCAGGGATTCCCTTCCTAAGATCCAGCCTTGGGTGCGCGCAGAAGATCAATGCACTCACCGCTTTTGGTGCCCTCGGACTGCTATTTGTGGAGGAGGGGAGACCCAGTCTCGGCGTCAAGCCGTTTGGTTGTTGCAGGAGGCCCCATGGGGGGGTTTCTTCTGGCCTGTATGCGGAGGGGAATAGCACTCCACTCCCCTCGCCAATCTTTCGGCAGAAAGCAAGGGCAGGGTTTGGGGTCCTTGCATGCGTTAGGACGCCAAACCGCTTAAGGTCGTTCTTTAGGATTGCTCGCAACTGTTCTTCTACTCTCTGTACAGCAGGGGCAGAGGCAGCTTCGGGAGGCCACCTAGGGCCCCCCACAGTGCTCCTTCGGTGCATCGAAGCCGGTGGGTAACCCAACGAGCACAGCTTGAGCGTTTTGGGGGGGGGGGGGGGGGAAT